TTTCTGACCAAGGTTATATCTCCTTCATTTGATAGACGTTTCTTGAATTCTACTTGATTGCAATTTCATTCAGCAAATTCGCTTGCTTCGCTCTCAAAGTTTTCATTCAACTAACTTTACAAACGGCGCGCATGTCATGTGATTTCCCACTTGTTGTTGTTTTTGTCACATCGACTTCCGGTCGTTTTGTAAAATTAAAATCCAATAAAATTAAGCTATATTTCCAAGAATACAAACGCACCGAATTTAATAAAACAATTATTCCATTCGCACTTGTTGGATATGAGATTGGTTATAGCCAACTCGGCCCTACGGGCCTCGTTGGCTATTTACCATCTCATATCCAACGCGCGCTCATGGAATAATTGTTAAGTAAACGAGGCCGGGTTGCTCGGAAGCCGGTTAACGCTAACCCGGCATTAAAGTTAACAGAAGTATAAATAGCTATTGTATACAAATGTTTTTCACTGCCTTTGGTTTGTGTATTTTGAGATTACTCAAACTCAAAACAGAAGGCCAAACAATATACAGAAAAAGTTACAAAATTCAAATCAAAGTTCTCGCTAAACCTGGGTTATCTTAATCGGACTTTGAAAAACCCGGCCTGGGAGCTCCACTTTTAGGCTTGGCTAAATCTATATATTACAATTTGTGAATTGCAATGTTAAAGTACTAGGTGGAAGATTGCATTCACCAAGTTTGAAGGATCTAGCTTGGCTAAAAGACGCTAAGTTAACTTTTATAATTTTCCATACATTTGTCTTTAAATCTGGCTGGGTAGACGCCGTTTGCGGGAAAAAAATCACAGACAAATGCAAGGAAAATTAGAAAAATTAGCTGAGCGTCCTCTAGTCAAGCTACATCCTCCAAACTTGGTGAATAAAATCTTCTACCTGTGTTTTAACGTTGCGATCCACAAATTGTGTAAAATTCAATTTTGGAAAAAGTTATTTGTAATTGGATTCCCATACAAACACTGTAATTTCTGACCGCTTTGCCTTCCTGTCGAGATGGCGTCGAAAACCGTGATAAGGCCTATCGTAATATAGCTGGCATTTTGCCCGCTACAACGCGCTCATTCATTGGCTAATTCATGGTCACATGACATCTAACAATGAAACTGTTTCCTGCCAAATGCCATGAGTGGGCAACATTGCGAAAACTATGACGTCAAACGGGAAACAGTTTACTGTTGCCCGCGAAATGTTGACCGCTGTTACATGTCATTTGTCAGTAAAGTGATTATTTGTTTTCCACCTGTTTGGCCTATTTGTTTTGCTATATAACATTAGCCACGGGAAACATTGAGATTCTCGGGACCAGACATTGTGCTAATTATTTACCCTATAGAATGTTACGTTTTAGTGTTCCTTTTTGTTAGGCGACTTAAGAAGCTATAAAACTTTACCCTGTGTAGCTTTTCGCTTACAAATCCAATTAACTATAGTCCTCTTAGTCCCTAGCTCGGAATGGAACACAGTGTTTCTTCGAAATTCATTTTAAACCGAAAACGTTAAAGAAAAACTAATACCACTTAAAGCGGTATTAGTAATCTCAGTTTTCATCTACATAGTTGCTAAGCAACGTGACACAAGCATACGTTAGTTGCTAAGCAACAGATAAGTCAGCAACGTGACAGTTTTAATTTTGGAATACACTGAGTGGTCGCCCTAAGTTTGTTTTTTTTGTTTTTTTTTTTTTTATGGGATAAGAACTATTGTCTCTTCAAGTGCTCTGTACGGAGGAAGGAAAAGAGGTAAGCTTCCGCTCTTTGCTGCGAACTGACACGAAGAAAAGATACACAATATCCTTGGTGCTTCCCAAAGGAGAAGCTGTTGGGATTGATCTGCGAGTAAGAAAATCGGCCACGAGGCTGGTTTACTACTCTTTAAAATTCCATTCTAATCCGACAGGGAATAGAGAACGAATCGAAGTTGACTTACGAAATTTCAGCCAAACAAGGTAGTGATACTCCTAGTTTTAGAACCATACCTAAAAGGATTACAGATACAGCAATTTTTTCTCCTACGTGCTGGTTCTCTTCTAAGATTATTGCATTATTTCGGTGGTGCCATGTATTCATGTTAATTGCTGCAGTTGTCACTCAATTCTATAGCTGGGTGTTATAATGTTTTGCCCTCCTACAGGTTAAGTTTGAAGTAATTTTGAGATGGACCCAATGGGTCTTTAACAGCGAATTTTTATAGCCTTGGGAGTCATCTAGACCACCAAATTTTGTAAATAAGTCTGTTATTCTCCATTTTAGTTTCTTAATAATTAAATCACCTCTGTTTAAGTAAATAACACGTTGAGAGAGATTCCAATTCGAAAATGTAACGGAGATGTTATTTCCAGAGTCACTGAGATGTCGGCAGATTTTTGTTTAATCTTCTCAATGCTTACGATATATTTTTGTCTTTATATTATTCAATATTACGACAATTTGTGAGGAAAGCCAGTCTGTTTCAAATCAAAACAAAATACACGAGCTAGCATGAAGCTTGTACCATTGTAAAACAACAGCATTTTGGACCAATCAGAGCTCGCGCAGTGGTGTTGCTATGGACACCAAATTTAGGCTCGTTCAGCAAGATATTTTGATCTGGCATTTTAATTAAAGACATGTTTGGTTCTGTAGATAAATACGTCTCGCTTGAACTTGGCAGGTTATTTGAATAAAACACGTTTTGAAACATTTTGTTTCAAACTGTCCTTGATTCGGCAACGCCAGTTAAACAAATTAGCAAAACAATGCGTTGCTGGTTTGAAGGGTGTCGAGCTTCCTGATATAGAGAAAAGAAACGAATTATACATGAAACAAACATAACGCCTTGAAAGATTGTTCGATAATTAAAGTTATTATGAAATAAACCGCGGCTTTGACTATTTTCAAGACAAAATCTTTTAAGGAAACTACAATATTCCAAAAATTCTTTTTATTTTTATTAGCGCCTTTTAAACCACGTATGTATTTAATTCACGGTTGTCTGTTTAGTATAGATATTTTCTGAAATTAGATACCCATAATCAATTTGGTAATATGCTAATTTGGCGTGAAGAAAAAACGTGTGTATCCGATACTAATTTCTGTTTCTAATCATTTTAGCTGTCTTGAAATTGACACGAAATTGAATTTATTCCAGTTGCTGGGTATTTCGAACCGATATCAACGATCAGGTAGATAAATTTGCGTGTCAGACCTGGAGACACCTGTATCCTGCGGTTTATATGCGCGGCAGGGCAAAATATAACTGGGTCTTGCCCTATTTATTCAGCTTGTTATTAGTACTTATAGACAGGCATACATTTCGCAGAACAGATCCGTGTTTCAAATAGTGCTAATTTAAATCTTGCTTGCGAAACCGGAATTTGTTTTGTAGGTGACAGGCGTCGTTATCGAAAAACCCTTCATAAAATACTGTAGCCAATATACCAACGAGTGGGCCTCGAAAGTTCTTTATGAAAAGACACAGTCGGAATGGCTTATTTCTGAAAGCCACACAGCCTGTCCAAACACGAGGTAAGTTGTCAATGTTTTTCTAAACAAATTCGCTTATCTTCGTTGCCAAATAACAAAATATATAAACGTTACTGCCCTGAGAGTCAGCAAAACGACACATTTCGAGCAAAAAGCGAGCAGATGTTGTGATCTCTTTGGTTTATTGTGCGATGGGTTTTGAAAACTACCCTTATTGACAAAAGTCACGTTATCCGGAAAATCATATCAAATTTTAAGTTTCATTTCATATACCATGGAACGAAACATATATTTTTGCCACAAAGCGAATGTAATTCACAGCGGGGGAACATGAACTTTTTTGACCCGAAAGAAGAGCCCACATTTCAGCTGTTGCTTCGTTCTGTTTACCATTCGATCAGATAAAGGTAATATGAGCCTTACTTTTGACAAGTCGCGTTTCACCGTACTTTAATTCACTTACCGACCTCAATATTATTAATTGAAAGGAGTTATTTCATTCCCATACTGATATCAGAATTACTAACTGCAACGCACGATATAATAGTGTAACATGATATTAGACTGCTAAGGAGTTCTGAAAATGTCGCAGAGCATTCGAAAAGTGGGTCTTTTTATTAAGACAGTACCTAAAACTTTATTACTATTTTGTTATCTTTCGACGCTAACGGCTACGTGTTAAAGTGGACGACACTCTATTGACAGCGCACAAAGCTACGCTCTAAGTGCAAGGAACAATGCTATTTCAAAGTGTGTAGCTCCAGCGACATCATGATAAGGTTTCCATGATGTTTACCCATGAATTAAAGGCTGTGAGTTGTCGAACGAAAGCTTTCTTATCTTGCGGTAGAATATCCAAACCGCACCTAACGTGAGACAAATATGTTCGTGTAATGAGTTGTAATGTGCTAAGCGGCCAAAATCGGCGCCATATCAACCTCCACCAAGTGTAATTATACGTGCTGTTTTGTATCGTGAAATGAGATGTGGAATACGTTATATGTATCGCGCAAAATGTTAAACCCGACTATTGACCATAATGTATTAAGTTCTAACAACTTCGAACTCCGCCCAAACATCTTTTTCTATTGCAAAGCGAAAATATGAAAATGTTATTGTTTTTTCGGACATTTGTACGCCACGCGTTCAGTTGTCAAGCTAAATTGTTCTTTCCATAACTTCATGCTAATTCCATTTTGTTTATTTATGAGACATTATTGTTGGTAAAGCTGTGTATGAAATTTTAACAAATTTCTAAAAGAAACTTCCATCCTTCAGGGGAGTGTCGAAACAATAAAGGAAACTTTCTCAAACCGCCAAGAGCTATCTGAAGCTTGAATTTGAATGTTTCGTTAATATAACATAATTAATCAACATCCAATCAAAGCGAAACCGCAAAAAAGGAAAATGGCTCTTAGGAACTCTGTAACCAGCCCTTTTTGGCAGTTCCAACATGGCGTCTCATTGTTTGTGCTGCATGAAAGCAATGGGACTTAAAAGATTTTTGGTCCATGCCTCTTCCCGAAAATCATTTGGTCTTCAGTTTTTTTTATGCTATAGTCTTCTCCTTTCATAACAGCGGGCATAAGTCAGTCTTAAAATTAGTTCTTCTCAGAATAAGACCAAGGCACCACGTGGAAGTTTTTGTGGAAGTGGGATCACGAGTTTTTGGCACTGAATTCGAGATTTTTTGACTGAACATGTAGCTAGCGATTACTCATTCTAGTAAGTTTTGTGGCTTTGCAAATTTGTCGTGAATTATAGTTAACACCTTTTTGACTAGTTGAACAATGTTTTTTTAATTTCAATTTAGAATGAAAAAGATCGATCGAGCCATGGTATGCCTGTTTTAGTGGTGGAAATACATACACATTGTACGAAATATCGTGTTGTATATGAGAACATTATGTAAAATACTCCCTTACAATCTGGTTCTACAATATCAGGGTGTTTACACAGTCATGACAGAAACGCAAAAGACAAAATCGCAATGGAGGAACAGCTAATTTTTATTATACTAGATGAAGAATTTCAAGAATCTCGAAATTTACTCATACGATCAGTTTCAGTGCACAATTCCATTAGCTAAATATGTCATGAAAGATAGCGTTTGTTTCCAGTAAAAATATCCATTTATATTGGCGTGATTCATGTCCATCAAAAACGTAGAGTTACATACGTAGATACCTTAATGAACCTTCCTAGTAAAATGAGTCTTTTCAGGAACTATAAATTTAAATGAGATTTTAGCATTTGCGAGAATAAAATTGTTAATATACATTAAAAAAGATAAATCCTTACAATTTCTGCCGGCAAATGCAAAGTAGAATTAAGACTACATCAAAATTTTCTGTGTAACATTTATAATAATTTAAAAGTTTAATTAAAAGCTATAGTTAAGATTCTAGGGATTTGAGTAAGAGCTTAGAATTCGGTTATTTATGAGGTTAACGTTTATGTTTTTGTTTAAAAGGATAAGAACTGTACCAAGATAAATAACAGACGTGTAAGGTTGGCTGACCATCAACATGGTCGCCGTGAATTACCAGAAATATTCGCCATTGAGTTTTGCTATGAAAACGAAAAGCTATCACGATAGAGCTCCGACACATTGACATTAATTCTGCGCCTAATGCAAGGACTGTGCACTTAGCAAAACCAAATAAAAAATAGGTCATATTTTGACCTACGCGACAGTCCTCTCGGGCCGCCATTTTATCGTCACGCAACACAAAACTTGGAATTCAAACGGGCCATCTCGAAAGCCCGCAATTTTTGGAACCTCCCTAGAACCTTTGTTATCTTTTATAACAATTCTGCTGGATTAATATATTCTGATTCGCCCTTGTTGACTCCGAGATGATAATAAAAAAAAACTCGACGCTTCGCCGGCGCCTGGTTTGTCCAACGTGGGCACTTGGAAAAATTGTTGATTAATTAACAATTCCAATAAGAAGTTAAAAGTCTACCTCGTAACTATTAATCATCGGATTTTAATATCAAATTAAAGAAGAGCTTTAATGGCTCCGTGGCACATTCGAGTCGATTCGATACGATAAAGTTCTTAGACGAAATTTCGTAAATAACTCACGCGTTGTGCAAGTAGAAAAAATTCAGGAATCGTGACCGAGATAAATTAAGGAATACTCTAGAATAAATAAATTGCCTTTGGCTTAAGAAAAAGACAAAACTACCTTGAATTTAACTTGTAGAATACTTTTATGCGCCTCGCGATTGCAGTGTTTAATTAACGTCCGTAACCTTTTAGTGGGTCTTGCGGGCAACCACCGTTGAAAATTGCTATCATTTTCCCGCCTATAAATGTTATATATATACATGTATTTGAACAGGGCAGGTAGGTATACAGTGACACAAAAGAACTTAAACGTGTGAGATATGCTTTCTCGAAGTCTTCACCATTATCGAGAGTTAGGTTTCGTAACTTATAGCTCATTAATTTAAACGGTTGAATTGCCAGCTGGTTAATACGAGTACAAGTTTAGTCATACCGGCGACTGAAAATTTATTCCGCTTTACAATGTGGAAGGATGCTAAGTTTAGACTGGCTTTATTTTAAATAGGGAGTATTGCCAAACCGCAAATGATCCTTTAAAACAAAAGTAGGATAGATTGATATTGACAAAAGCGAGGCCGGTAAAAATATCATATGCATGCTTTTAATTATACTACTCGGTACTGAATTAATTCACTGAATATTCAACCTACTTCTGCTTTATCTTTGACAGATAAGTTCCACTGAGTCATTAAGCAAACTTCTCTTGGACGTTCAACAACAGAACAACACGTGAGGGCCATTTTTTTTTATCAACATCCATACCACAGGGAATACAACAGGTAGATATGAGCTCATAGTTCACGACGTCACTTTTTGCGTATCAAGAAGATGTTCCTAGAACATTTAAATGGGGAATAGAGACAGTTTTCGTCGATCTAAGATCTTAGGTAATTCATTTTAGAACACGGTTTTAACATCATGCCTCGAAACTCTCGAATCTTTCCGGTTTGTTTCATGTATACGCTCAGTTTGCGACTGCAGTCATATCTTGGCATAGACAGTGAAAAATGTGAAGATTTCAACTCAAAAAGTCTCAAATATATGATATACTTTCATTACATTAAGCGTTCAGAACTTCGGAAAGTTTACTAATATCTTAAAACATGACTGTAAGCCAATTCCAACCTAGTTTAGAAACTTTGCATTTAAAATAGAGTTCCTTGCTTACTCTAATTTTGTCACTGGGCAATCTAAAACTGAAGAAAAATCATTTGGTAACTGCTTCAGCAGATAGTAATTGTAATAAGTCCTCGCACTTTCGTGAAAATTTAATGCCATTATGTTCTCATTTCTAGAAGCTAGTATTCTTCCATTTCGTATCCATCAATGAAGGACTTTTTCATGGCAGCAGGTGGTACGCCGACACAATAAACTGACGGGGAAAACGTTGTATTAATTCGTACCTATTTTTTTGAAAAGTAACCTGCTTTCCAGAAATTGGAGATTGCCTTAAGTTAACGTCTTATACGTCTGTTTTGTACAATATGCCTTCAAAAACGTCCCCGAGTGTTCCTGTTTTTGTAGCTTTTTCAGAAGATTACTAGATGCATCTGCTCCATTCATCATACACAATAATATAAGGCACACGTCGATTGACACAATTGAGTGGGGGTTTTGTTTAAAATTAGACTTCAGCTGCAAGGTTCTTGCTTTCAAATATCTGCTGGTTGGCCGAATGCACCAAGAGATGCTCACCAAGGGGTTATTAGCGATTTGTTTGTTTTGGTGATATAATGACTAAACTTCAGAAAAGATTGCAATTTGAAGTCAGAAGATAAGATCTTGTTGAACAAATTCATTAGCGACGCTAAATGGAATTCTAAGCATACCAAATTACCAAAATTGGCTTTAGTATTTGCATTTTATGAATTCACACAATGAAATGTGATGGATATAGTTAATTGAAAGGCAAATATTTTGCATACGTGTTTGTTATATTTCTTCATTTTTCCTTTTTACTTCGCCTTTGTACCAAAACTCTTCGTCACATTCATGTTTCACATAACGTTTTCCATGCATACAATTTAGTAAGTTCATTCCAACACCACGTCTAGCTGTTTTTTTTTTCTTCTGATATTATTCAAAGCCAAATGTAAACCCTGTAGCCCTTTCGTGTGATTATTTGTAAATTGTCTTTTCTGTAGTTTTCAAAGCTGCATTCACCTGGCCCAGTGATAATTCCAAAATTTTATTCCATGTCAGTTAGTTATGTTCAAAAAAAGCGCAAACGTTTTAGTAAAAATGTTCAGTGGAAATCCTTGAAATAATATTGTCGAAGGAATGAAATATGAATTACTTCAAATGACTAACAAGGCGCAATAATTAACAAGCGCAGCAAGGCTTGGGCCATTGCCGGCTATTAACAAAACATCGAGTTTCTGCTTTAACTGCATCTTCATATTCTTTTTTTTTTTTTTTTTTTNTATTTTTTTTTTTTTTTTTTTTTTAAAGAGAAATACAAATTGATTCTGAGGATGGCTTTACTGAATTTTTTGCATGATATGGTAAAGTTAACCTAATGCACCGTACCAGCTTTTCACCATTGAGATCTTTTGTTCGACTGTATGCGTAAGAAACAAAACCTGATGACATTTGTTATGCAGATCATATCGACAGAAGACTGTAGAAAATTTTGGAGACAAAATTAAGAGGAATTAACGTGCTCACCAAAACGAATTTCTTTGTTCGCCCAACTCGGCGCTAAATTGCGGCATAATAATTCCACCTTTTACATTTTAATATTATTATTGTTATTCATCTTTCCTAACATTTGTATTATTGTTTTTGCTATTAAAACTGAGCTAAGTATTTTGAGTTTTTGAAACTTGGGGTTGACAGGATCAAGTAAGTAAGGTATCTAAAGTCTTTCATTTAGTGAGCGTCACGCGATCATGGCCACATGACTTCGTAGATTTCAAAAGCCATCATCAAAAAATTGGTTCATGGTTAGCGTGAACGCCATCATTAAAGAATTCGTTCATGCGTATATCGAGTTATGGATGTACGCACAGCTAAAAGCATGAACCAATTCTTAGGCGCCAAAACATGTTCTATTTGTCATTGACTAAAAAGTTTTCACAATGCACGATGAAGGAAAACAAAGGTCATTAGGACCCTAACACGCCTCAATCAGTTGAGCAACAGTTGAACGAAAACGCTTAACCTGGTTCAGTTCTAAAGTTGTCAATGAAAAATTCGCTTGTTACACAAAAGCAACTTGGACTAAACTCGACGAAAATTTTGCAGTTAAATTGAAACTGCACACGTCATGTTATATACACACGGTCGTGCGTATATAGAGATTTCGTTCATGATGGCTCAATAATAGGAATTAGGTAGGACTAGCGCGCGCTTTGTTATAAATTTAGTTTAGCCATCAAGGAGTTTAAGAATTTCAATAAATACCGGAAACTCGCCAAAATAACCCACAAAAATTGAAAATGATATTAAAATGCTGAAACCAACTAAAGATTAAAAATTCAACACAAACAACTGTGTTTTATTTTTAATCAAGCTACGATGGCCTAAGGACAAGAGTTTAACTTAAGATATTGAAAATAACAGTTTAAAAAACATTCACCACAAAAAAAATCAATTTGGATGGTGCAGGCCTGTAGAACATGATTGTTATGGTAACATCAAGTAAACAAAGACGCGTGAGCTTCGAGAAATGTTCACAACGATAAAGTGATGAATTTTCGATTACTTGAATTACCTTGTAGAAGTTTGAAATCAGAACGGGTAATATTTACCACCCTTTTCTGTTCTTTGCCTTTGTCAGTAGTCAAAGAAAATTATTATTTATAAAACGAAACAGGGACGACTTTTCTATTCAATGTTTGTGCTTTGCAAAAGATGCAAATTATCTTGTTACTAAGTAATTGTTATCTCTAGGGTAATAACTGGATCATAATTAAAAAAAGAAAGCATATTCTGCCTTCACTGAATTGCTGAAACGTTTTATATTTCCTTCATTCTTATTTATTCCATTAGAAGTTTTTACAGTCGACCCAGCTTGAAAAACTATATTAAAAAAGCAGCGAATAGAAGTCTATTTCTCTACTATACCGGCCACAGTACACAAAATACAATGACGGGTCCTGTTTATTTTTGATTATTTCGCCACTATTTTATTGAAAGTTTAGCAATAAAGTTGTTTTTTAAGAATACTTTTTATTTTACTATCTTTTACGCCTCCCTGCGACTTAATTAATAGAAGGTCGGAGAGTCGAAACAAAAACTTAAAACTAAAAACAAAATTGAATGGCGGATGATGTGTACCATTTGAAAAAACATAAATTCACAGTTATTTAATGAGCATTTAAGTTATTGGCCTGGTTGGTGGCAAAAATCTATTGCGCAACTTAGAAGAGGTAAAATGAGAAAAAAATTCGTATAAAAACCAAAATATATATAGCAAACAAGGTGAAAGAATATTCATGTAGTTTCTATGCAGTCAGCTGGAAAATATTGTGGTATTCATTGTTGAACAAGTGTCTTCATCTGAGATGGAACTGTCATGTTATTCTTCAAGGATAGTGCAAGTGTCAAGAAAATGTTGGCGATATTAAAAGGAGTGAACATCTTGAATATACAAGTATCTTTTTACTCAATTTCTTCGAGGTTTGTATTCTTGGCCTTAATTTATTAGCCGAACCAATCAAGTTTGGCTTAGCGTAGTAAAAGTGTGTGAATTCTCATTACATGTTGTTTAATCTAAGACGCCATAACGGTAATGCTTCGGTGAAATGGAACCCCAATCAAACAAGGATGATGAAAGTTTTCAACTCAAGCCGTCATATTTGATCATTTTTCAAGAGAGCGCCGAAATGGGTCACGTTTCATACCGGCAAAATGAAGTTTGTGAATCACTTGTCAATTTTGCGTTATTTTTCATTTGGTTCCATGGAATTAGTAATTTTACATGAGGGAAACACGTTTGCGCAGCTGCCGTTTGTTTAACTTACAATTTGAGCGGTGACAAATGCGTCAGGTTTTGTGCAAATCAAGCAGCCAATCGTCTTAAAGGATAACAATTTTATCCTTTAACTAAACTGCCTTAACCTGCTCGCTTTAGATTGAATTGGGGTTTGTTAAGAGGCTGGCGGGTGATCGACTTAGTGCAGTGTTTCTGGTCTTTCTTTCACCCTCATACAAGTCCATACACACTTTAAATGTGAGCCACATCGAACTACTTCAGGTAAAAGCTCTTTTCCTTTGTTTTGTTGTTGTAATATGTAACTCACCAACTCTAAAGCATCACAGGAATAGACCAAAGTGTTGATTTAACTTTGCATATTTCATTTGTTGGCCGTCTTTGGTGAAATAAACTGTGTCTGCCAAAACTTGGGTCTCGGTATTGCTATTTAGCTCTAGCATCTCCAATAAAAACTACTTTCTGTTTCAAAAATTCGAGCATACCTAATCCTATAATTACCGGTGTGATGTTTTGATACCGACAAATGGCATTATTGCTCATGGCAGTATTACTAGCCGACTTTTGTAGACGTCTGAGGTTTCATATTTTCTTCTTTTTTCGATATTCATCTCTGTCTGTTGGATATTGTTAAATAAATACAACCTAGACCACGTCAGTGGTAAAAGAAGCTGACCAAATGCTACAATTCTTTCTTGTTTGCACAAAACAAAACCAAAAATTATTATTTTAATTTTGTTTCACTTTCGAGAAAGCATGCTGTACACTCGAATCGTTTTAGGATGAAAACAATTTTGTCCAGCCATGATTTAGGACTCCCGGGTTTTTTCAGAACTTGGTGTGAAATTGCGTTAAAGATTCAACCATTTCAAAAGCGAAGCGTTAAGAAATGTGCAATATTGTATATAAAACAGCAATTTTGCATTGTGTAAATTGATTTTCAAGCTGCCATATTGACTTGTGAGGTGTGATGGGTAAATGAATCCGTGTTGATTTTAATAAGGAGTATTATTCTATCCGTGAAGAAATCCACCTCATATGGACAGACAATACTTTATTTGTCTCAATTAGGCAGCATCACTTTACATCATTAATTCGACCCAGATTTTTAATCATTTTAATCGGAATCGTAGTGTCAAGTTCTGGGCACACTTTCATGGAGTCGTTTTATGGGTTGTTTGGATACAAGTGATGTACGACCTCCACCAGCTAACAGATTTACTTAATTGCTCGACTATCGGGCCAAAGAAAGCTTTGATAGGCCCGCAATTCGTACGCAGTACTGTTTTGCAAACCCGGTGATTTGCTTTAGTTCATTTATTTCTAACAGTAACTTCAAACAGAGTGTGCTTAGTCACGCTTCCAGTGCGTTGCCGCTATGAAGGAAAAACCTCATTGCAACCTTTACCTTTTCTTAAAAGCGTCAGTTAAGCTTGTGACGACACAATGATAGCCGGAGCTACGCTTTTTTCATTTTAATTGAAACAAATTCTCGCAACTGTGATCGTAAGAGAAACGAGACGACCAGAATGGAAAATTGTATTTTGACAACAGTGTTTAAAGAGGATAAAGGGGGCCAACAGAATCAAATTTTCCTTACAGTAAAATATAAGAAATGCATAGAGACCGGCATATAATGGGGTTCAACGGGTTGATATATCCAGTAATTCTTCCAAATTGTACTAAGAGAAATGTATGGAGATTACTAAAGAGAAAATACCTTTTGACACAACGATCTTTGTATATAAGAAAGCGTCGCTTGTTATATTTTCTGACGCTTTATCACGTGCTTAAAAAGAGTTGAACGTTTTATAACTATTGATAATTAGAATAATTCTGGCGTTTCAGACATGGAGCTCTGTTAGATTTGCTTTCGTGTCGCTTGCCTGCCGATATTTTTATTCATTTTACTTGCTTTTGAGCCAAAATCGATAGTACAATGACAACTGTAATCACCAACTCCTTGTTCGATCACAACAAGAGATCGATTTGCATTTTAATTCAATGAACAAAGAAACCGCGAAATAACTAAATCGAGTTTATACGCACTAAATAAATTTCGTATCGCATAAGCATTTAGTTGCTTTGGCGTGTGATAATTACCTGATAAGGCACCCTTGCTTAGATAAATGCTTAAGCAATGCGGACTCTATAATCTCTCAAACCATTCTTGTATTACAGACTCCTGTGTGTTAATGAAAATTCTTTTGTTCAGCTAAAAGCATTCTGGACATGCATTTATTGCAAAGTATTGAAGACCGAAATTGAAGACACTTTGCCTTTCTGAAGCGTATTGACGCAAGCTTTGACAACTCGTTTTTTGACGTTGACTTGAGGACCTGTCAAAGCTCGCTTCCTAATCAAATGGATTATTTTGAAATGTAATTATCGCCGCGAGGGAATATCGCTTTTCGTAAGTAATAAGTACCTCTACACATTTTGAATTACATTTTGTGAAGCGCTTAACATTTTGGTTTTGTTTTCCAGCTGTCAGATCAGATCTTCAAACAAATCGAGGAACTGACTTTAACCATGAAAACGCCACGATTCATCTTGGCTCTGTTCTTGTTTATCATCTCTTTAACGAAAGCGAAGAACTGCTCAATGCAAGCGAAAAGTATCTTAAACAAGACAGTCGTGTAAGTATATAATCTATTTACTGTTTCGTGGCTTAATCCGTCTTAGCTGTTTTTTTGCCGCTATTTTACAAGCGTGTTTACAAACATAAATATTTAGTGCCTATTTCCGTATGTTTCCTAGCAGCAAACAAATTATTTATTGAGAATGTGCTTTGCTGGAGAAAGTAATTCAAATTGTCAAATTTTGTGAGCCTGTGAGATGTAAATTCTTCATAAACGCCATTACAAAGGCCAGCACTAAATTAAACCGTGATAACCAGTTTGGTTGCTTCTTTTAACTTAAAATATATATTTAAGACTTCTATGAATCTTAGTTACAATGTAGGAAGCCGTTTTCTCCGCGACTTCTTTGAATATGCTTATATTGTTTAGTTTGATAAATGTTTGAGCTCTAGATCTCTACAGAGTGATATGAATCTTTTCTTAATCATTCTGAGTATTTTGAAAATAAAGGAACTCTTTAGAGAGAGGTGAACAGTACACATCCTGCAGTAAGATAGCGAAATTGACCGATAATCTTGGAACCTAAAAATGTATTTAGAGTTTTTGAGACTTTTCCGACAGACAGGTGACTTGTACACGTTCGATAACAACAAAAACCAGCCAACCACTTTAATTTGCCAAATTTACAAGAAAAGAGAGAGAGAGAAAAAAAACAGCATTAAAACAGTTAACTTAATTAGGCAAAAAACTACTCATAATGGTAAGAAAACTAAACAAGCTGAGTAGATATATATATAAAAAATAATATGCTTTACCTAGATTAACGCATTCACATCATAAAATACTTTTAGGTTAACTTAGTTTACTTCGCAAATTAATTCTGCTAACGTAAAGCTCTCCGTTCACCTGAAATCTGAAGATGAAGCTAGAAATGGCAGCGTTATGAAAATTCGGAGGGAACACTTATTTCAGGCTAAAAACAGGATATTATACATTAGCCGTATTCATAGACTCTTAATTATGACTTGTGGTGATGAATATGACAAAAGGGAAATTTACTTTTCATTTGATTATCTCTCAGCGCAAACGAAAGCGATAAACGTCATACAGCGTCAAAAACTCCAAAACTCTTTCCTTAAAGAGTTGCACGAAAGCATTTGATTTTTGTGGCTTACTCTGACGGAGAAACTAAGGACCGAAATATGAAGATATTTGTTGGGTGGTTGTTACGAATATTAAATTCAATGCTTTATATCAATATATACGGCCTGAGCGCTATATAAAGAAAAATTATTCCGTCCCCTCAGGAAAAAATGATTTTATACAGCTTGCCTTGCTGCTTTGGAAGCAGTCTTCATTATTTATTTATTTATTTGTTTGTTTGTTTATTTATTTGGTATTTACTTTTTTATTTACTGTTTTTTACAGCAAAATGACTGATGAAGAGTGCGAAACATTTAACTCTGAGCCATGTGAGACAACAGAAAACATAGAAGAATTGTGAGTCTATGTAAAACGACTATATTTTTTCCATATCATCCACTCAAATGTTAAGGCATTTTACTTTAGTTACAACTAGAGCAACTTTCCTCTCTCCGTGAATCCAGCGATCGAAAACGAAGACATATAATAGACCTCTTTAGCTTGGGTGGTTTGCATCTATTGGAATATGGGGATTCAGACAAATCACTATGTATTTTCAATTGACAATCCTATTTCGATAAGAACCCGTTCCGTTATCTTTAAAAATAGTCTAAAAATAAAGAAAGAAAAATTAGAATATTGCTTGAGAAGTAATCGGTGGGGCTAAAAGGTTTCGCCCTATTTAATCGTTATCTTGTTAAGACCAAAGTGCATTAGATTTGTTTAATTTTTATTTTACAGGGATTTATCCCGCAATAAAATTGTAGAAATAAAGCGTGCCATGTTCACTTGTCTCAAGAAACTGAAGAAATTGTGAGTACCTTATTTAACATCTGTAGTTGAGTCTTGAAATAACTTCNAATTTGTGTGCCAGTCGGCGTCAAGCAAACGGTTTTTTGCAGTTTTGTTTTCTATTTCTGAGTTGTAAGGTGTAACAAAACACTTAATGACTGGCTCCGCGGGAAACAGTGAGTTTTGTTTCCCCTCGACATTCGCCTCGGGGAACATTGAGGGTGTCGGGGAAACAAAACTGACTGTTTCCCTTGGAGCCAGTCATCATGTGCTTAGTGTGTCAAGAATTGCTGTATTAAGCAGATGCTTCTGGCTGTATGATCTGCGCAGCAGAAGAGATTGTTTCGACTACTAACGATATTTGCCTTTCAACCTCGGCTCTATCTCCTGCCAGGTATGCTTGCGTGACCCCTGGAAAAGGATTACCTGAACTGGTAAACACGTGCCTCATAAGGTAACTTCTTGACAACTTTAAAGAACTGATAAAAGCCTTCTCGACTTGTACCATTTGATCATTGAGCCTGCGCAAACGTAATGGGCTGGCTAAGTCTGGATTTAACTTGGACTTTGCTTGATCAAAAGCTTGACTGGCATTCCTGAATTTATAAAGAGCTTTACGAACGTAATCAGTAGAAATGCCTGGGTTTTTCATTTTCTTAATAAGCTCCTCGTAAGCTGTTATCAGTGTCTTTGCGTAACGAGTAACGTCAAACGGTAAGAGAAGACAATCCGCCAATTCAATCAAAAGTCCGCCTTCAAACTTCGTTACGGCCTCGTGAAATTTAAACTCCGGGTCGACTTTTTTCATCCAAAAGAAATTGTCTTCCTGAGTGTGGTAAACAGGATACAGTGTTACTGGGTTACCAGGTCCGAAAAAGTAGCTAAAATCTGCTGAAGGTATACCGGAGTACATGTAAAATGGATAATAGTCACTGAAATAGCTGTATGGTACAACATAAGGTTCCCCAGGATTACTTCGTGAGGGGTTTCGCTCAACCATGATGTCATACAGACTTGTTTTATTGCCATGTGCATTTGGATCTTTTACCTTCTTGGCCCAAGAAAAAATGACCGTTGAGAGAAGTGGACAATTTTGACTGACTAAAACGTAATCGCCACCAACCGCCACGTCCGTGTTCAAATAAACAACAGCTCTATCTTGCAGAATCTTCTCATTTTGTTCTACCCATTCTATAGAGCCAATAAGTCCAAATTCCTCTGCTCCCCAACTGCAGAACTTCAGGGTTCTTCTGGGTTTCCATCCTTCTTTAAGCATTTTGCTGACTGCCCGTGATATTTCCATAAGGGCCGCTGTGCCGCTCGAAGGATCAGCGGCCCCAAAAAACCACGCGTCTCTATGGCTACCGATTATTACATATCTGTCAGGTTCCTCGCGACCATGGATGGTACCAATAACATTGTATACTGATTTCTCGGTTATAATGTTGTTCACATGCAATCGCACAGTGGTGTTATTGTCGATGAAACCCGGCCCAAAACCGAAGGAAACATTAAAACTTGCTTGCCATTCTTTTGGTACTTTATCGCCTGCAACAAATGAAATCGGCATTTTCATGTAAGATATTAACACATCGACTGGGGAACTTAGGTTCACGACAAGACTTTTTGTTTGCAAAAATAAATTACTGAATAAACAAATAAATACAAATAAATAAACATTGGGATAAATCCTGGTCCGCCCGTTAGTATCACTATCACTATCTAGCGGATAGCTTGGTTTATTTTGTTAACACTCACCAGGACTGCAGACGCGCGATGGCTAATCAGTACCAACTTGACACTAGTTTTTGCAGCATGTAAGTGAAATGATTGGCAGTACTGCTATACACCATTAATTGGAATGGTACACGGTAGTCTTTCTCAGAAATTGAAAACCGGAGAAATGCATATACTGTTTCAATGCTAAGGTCGTTCTCAGAAGTGAAGTCTAGAGAAACGTACGTATTGTTTCTTCGAATAATCATTTTATTCCCAATCGGCATATGCCCTTTTATAACTGACTGTCAAAATCAAGCTCTGACAGACGAAAGGAACCCAATTTCGACGGCACAAAGGCAGGTTTATTTTTAGTCTATTTTGTTCCTTGTGGAAAATGTTTCTTGAAACTTTTAATGGATTAATGAAAGACGGCGCCATGTTATTCTACAAAAAAAAGGTAAGCCGAAGAAATTTCCAAAGCTTTTTACCAGGTGTGATTACGTTAAGATTCAATTGCTGGAAAACTGGCCAAACAAACGAAAACTGGACTTTAGAGAGTGGAGGAAATGGAGTTCATTATAAAAAAAAAAATTATAATTTATGGCTTAATATTGTTCCTTTAGGCATAAAATCACTCAAAACACATATCTATGATCTGTTTTTGTTTTGAATTACTGAGAACGTCGCCGGTTGATAATTATCGCAATTGAAGAGGTAGTTTTAATAACAAAACCAACAGAGCCACGAAAACACGGTAGACTAAGATCAGTGAAAACCTAGGGATATAGAAAATATTACACGGCGGCGCGAAAATATGAATTTTATTTTCGAATGGTAAAATATTGTAATTAACACGAGAAAATAAAATTCATATCTTCAAACCATCGTGCAATTTTGTTTTTGCAGTTCGTGTCGCAAAAACTCGCTCTGTGCTTAAAAACGATCGTCACAGCACAGCAACATTTAGATCATTTTAGAATTTACCTTTTATATTATTATTATTGTAATTTAACTATTCGCGTCTCTCATAATCTTAGGTTTTTAATTTCTATTTTATTGTATATTTGTATTCATTTTTTCTCTTTTTTTTTTTTTTTTTCTTTTGGAAACTCAGAGGAAACAAAATAAGCAGTGTTTCGCCAGGCATCTTTAAATGTCTTGGATCATTGAAGAAATTGTAAGTAAATTAACTATGAGAAGTAGATTGATAGCATCACGTGATTTGAATTGAGCGTAATTTTGCAGTTAACTTTCCAAAACGCTTCCCATCCACACCAGTGTTTTCGCAGCGTTTTCCCGTCCACAATAAAACGCTTAAATAAAACGCTTGAAACGTTAACACGCCATACTGAAACACCAAACCTGTCACTGGCACATGCGCACATTATGTGAATGACGTCGGCATTTTATGAANTTATTATTATTATTATTACTATTATTATTATCATCATCATCATTTGGTTTTGCAATGCTACACTAATCGATTTTGCTTTAAAATAACTTGTTCCACTTTGTCCGATTAGAAGTAAAACAAAAAACAAACAAACAAACAAACAAAACTCGCTCGCACACGTTTTGCAGCACTTCCCGTTAGCTACATGGATATTCTCTTCGGGCCTTTTTTGGCTCACTGGATTGTGGGTGTTCTTTGTCATTGACCGTTGTGATTACCTTGGTTTTGGTTTTGCGACACTCAATTAAGTCCCTTTACATGTTGGAAGAATTTGTGCGGTTACAAAAGATCGATTAAAGCATGCGTTTAAAATTAAAGCTATTTAACACGTGTTTGTTATATACCTTTAAGCTGCTTCAGCAGAAACAGGGCGTCGTTGTAAGAGATTGGCTGCGTTGGTATGGCGGCCAATTTGGTCATATTCATGGGTCCTCGGTACATCCCCTCAATAGATGGCATTCCTGGGGTAAGTGGATCACCCCAGTTTGCAGCCACTGGTCTTTCGGGGATAGCTTCGCCTGACGTCCAGCGCGTGTTAGGATAGGTATCGTCAGGATCAGGTCCAGATGGAGGAGGTTCTGGGAAGACGAGGGCTCCAACAGCACCAAGAGCGACCGCGTAATCTATCTGCCGTATAAACCGTAAAAATGAGTTTTATTTGCTGTATTCAAATCACTTATCGTCCTTAGCTTTAAGTTTACGGTCACGGTGTGTTTATTAAGGACGGTGCCTACTTTTGTTAGTGCGCACACGTTCTGCGCATCACTCAAGGCATGGTTTAAGCACCACGCGCGCGCTGGGTTGACATGACGCAATCAACTACGCTACCAAGTACACGGCTAAAGACGACTAAATTGAAAGCAAAATTTTTCCTATTGTTACCAAATCAAATTTAATGAACCTATATTTAAACCAGGAACACCAGAACAGCAGCATATCGCTAACC